CGAGAACCTGGTACTTAATAACCCCGTTTACACTACACTCAGTTTCGGTACTCGTACCATTTTCAACCATGCTCGGACTATACCTATTTACCAAGGCAGAGCATGCACGGATAAATTTGGTATGACTGGAGATTTTTTTCAAAATGCTTACTATATGGAAATAGTATGGATCTTACTTGAAAATCCAATTTTCGTACTAATTGCAATTTCTATACTATGGATATAGTATGGAAATAACGCTTGTGATGTTCCTCTGAGTGTATATCCACAACGGGCAAACTTGAAAAATATGCCTGACCACGGTGGGAATCGAACCTACGACCTTTGGAACACTAGCCCAATGCTCTGCCAACTGAGCAACGCGGTCTGGTCGGTTCGAGTATGTGATATTTCGGAACAGTCTAGTTCCTTCGATATCAATGTAACCTAATAATAATCATGATTTTTCTATGTTACTATACACTCACTGTGTTACTATACATTACTATACACTGTCTCAATATACACTCAGAGTAACATCACAAGCGTCATTTTCACCTGAGTACGTTACACCAACACAGAAAAATCATGAGTATGGAAATAGTACGCATGGTTTAGTGATGTAATCGCAAATTCCACAGAATGAATAATTTTCATTTTTTTTCCAGTGTACGGGTATCAATTTTATCCGTGCCGTATCAAAAATTGAGCGTAGTGTAAACAGGACTTATAATTAATATACTTGCTATACAGTAATTCGTCTTTTTGGTAGATCATTATATCAATAACATAGCTTCAGGGCTCCTCTTGCCAATGCCTCCCCTCCACCTCCCCCCCCCCCCCATGCAAAGGTACGCCACTGCGTACAGTAAGAACGCTGCAGATAACGAAAATCCTTTAGCTGGCAGGGACATCTTACATGTTCAATATCTTTAATGACATCACAAAACGTACGTGCGCGCGTATCAACGTACTTAATGTGAAATCATTCAAACCCCGATGAATTAGAACCAAAATTGCTTACCTTCCAAGCGGTAGAGTATTCAGTCTCTTAGTCAAATCTTGTAATCTTTCAAAATCTCGTTTAAGTGACCAAGCATAGCTAAGGGTAAGAAAAGAGTAGTAAAGATTATAATGGCGAAGCTAGCATTGGCGACTGGTCTTATAAATAAACGTGCACAAATAGATGGACTAAAGACAATTATATTTCTAAAGGGTGGAATAATTGAAAAAATTAAAATAGATTCGCTAATGGTAAAGATCTGTACTTGTCAGGGAAGCCATACTCACAATAAGAGATTGTTATGTAATATATCAAGTCCGACTATGAGAACTTTACCAGATATCCAGTCCGCGCAATAGTGCCGACGACTGAACTAACTACAAGAACTGGAGGATATCTGGCAAAGTCCGAATTGTTGGATTTGGGATGTCATCTCATATTAATTTTGATCCAGTCTAAGGACTGAATTTTGATCCAGTCCTAGGACTGGATCAATATACTTCACCAGGTATCCATAATAAAGTAATATGATTGGCTAATATACTCATGAGTTTGAGAGACTGATAAGTCCTGAGAAATCAGTTACTATGTGTACCACTGTTAACATTACGTGGTTAAAATCCGCTTCGACCTGCAAGCGCAAATCTTCATCGGTGAAACTTAATATTGTTTTTCACCAATGATGATCCGGTGTCCCGGACTTAAGCCTACAAATATTTTAAACCTATAAATGCAGTTCATGCCATGCACTTTGCTTTAGTCAGTGCCATTGTTCCATTGTTTTGTTCAACATACGAACAGCTTACATACCTCAATAACCAATGACTCCACCGGATTGGTTGAGCCCTCTACAAATCGAAAGACAGCGACATGCGTGAAGATGTTGTTAGTTGCATACGCTTATTGAGTTCTGCACTTTATATATCGCGCACCATCATGTGCGCCTATTGTGGCTTTCAGTGACACAAAGCGGATATGATATAATAGAGAGAGGCTATAGGTTTAAGCCTTTTTTCCATGCGAAACAGCTCACATTTAATTTAATCAGAATCCACTGAACGGGACTTAATAGAGAGGACTTAGCAGAGGAGGTGTTTAATAAAAGGGGTTTAATACTCAGAGGGGAGAGGGAGCTTAATAGAGGGGGTTAATAAAAGGGGTTTTTAGTTGAGAGCGTGTTTAATGGAGAGATAATGGTATTATAAACTTACCTGCATATGTGTGTATCCTGGCATAAGAACATCTTTCTCCCTAACATGTAACGTTATCAAATATGTACGAATTAGACAGCTGGTAAAATTTGATGTCTGTCGCTAGATTACAATTAAAAACAGACTACACATATTTAATCGTAGATGGTTGTGGAAAGAGAATGGCCTTAACGCTAATCAAGTTATCAGTTCGTAACACCATGCATAGTATATATATTATTCATTAAATCGAGGTCAAAATACGAAATTTCGGCACACTCCTTGCCAGCTTCATGTTAACAGCGCAGACAAAAAAACTGACGTCCAGCAGATCTTCAATTTCCGCCATGTTGACTTCACTTTTTGGACTCGAGTTCTCGCTTCAGATATATATGGAGATCAGTGCTCGCAGTAACATGGCCTTTATGGCATGTTCCTCATTCCACATTTGCCTTCTGAAGCCGGTTGTAAAAATGCTTGAAAAGCCATATGGCTACAATCCTGGCAACATTTATCGTGGACAACGCGGGCGGAAATAGAAATATCATCCTTGGCTTGCCCCTTCCCACTCCCCCTGGCTCAATGTTGAAAGCTTTGCGAAATGCATGTCAAGATCAACATTGTAGGGGGGAGCGGGGGAGGCAAAGACGCCAACAAGTGTATGCCAACAGTAATACTTTAGTTTGCACCTCAGTGTCCACGGAATGTTTGCCATGATTGTTGGTCCTGACAATTAATAAAAACTTAATAAATTTTATTTTATAAATACGGAAGTTTAATCCAGGTTATTCTAATCAAACGGACAATTTAAAAAAAAATGGCTATCTGGTAGATAGCCTTCACTGGTCTGTGAGTTCCATATCAACGTTATGACGGCGATAAGATGTAATACATACGTACTGTTTTGCTCTTTCCACGAAAACGTTGATCAAGGCTTTGAGATGATTCTTTAATTCACTCGCTTTGCCTCTTAACCACAATCTAAATATAAACGAAGTCAAAGGGTGCTACAAGCAGTTTCTGTCTTCCAGCTGTGCTGATAATACTTGAAAATCATTTAGACCATTGATTTTGAATAAATAGTAGTGTTTCAAAAAGCAAAATCCGTGGCATTTTCAAAGATTTTTCCAGTTTTAGGTCTTCGAATTCACTGTAAAACGTCCTTGAAAGGACTGGAAAGTCCTTAAATTTAATCTTCACTAAAGGGTGGCACTAACTTTTCGACGAAGGGCCTTCGCTCGAAACGTCGGAAGTTCTGTTTGTATTTATCAGGTATAGTTGCATCCAGGGGTGGAAAAAGTTTCCCAGAAATTTTTTTGAGTTGAGAGTTTTGCAGAAAATTTATTTCAACATTTTGAGATAACTCTGCTTATTCAACTTACAATTAGTTACAACTATTCTACTTTATTTACACTGCAGTACACGCTAACATCAGCAGCTTTTAAATATTTTACAGAAATTAATTATTTTACCCATCCCTGCCATCACAGTGAGGTAAAATGGTAAATACATGCTCTGCAAAGTCTCCAATAAAATGCAAATTAAATAGTAAACAAATAAAAGAGATGGAATAAATAAGATTATGCGACACTTAGTTAAGCGTTAATTCCTTACTAGTTGGTCATAACTGTGGTATATATAACAGACAACTATTGCGATGTACGAGCATAAGAAAACCAGCCTAAAGCCTATTATTACTAAAATACAAATAATACAATAATTATGCATTTGTTTTGTTATTTTTGTAATTGTAACATTGCAAATTTTACAGAAAATTTCTAGCCTTCGACCCAGGTTCCCAGAAAGAAAAAAATTTCCACCTCTGGTTGCATCCCTATCACTCCGCTACTTTCTTATTATCGTCACTCCCTGGCACTGGCACAGACCGTTCGAGATTTCACAATAGACCTTTATAAAAAGGTTGACGTCAGCAGGCTTGTGACGTAGTTTGCGGAGGAAATCCCGAAAGCTCAGAGTTGTTTACTTGTTTTGAGTTTTTTTAAAGCCAAAAGAAGCCAGTATTATGGTAAGTTTGAAGCAAATTTTTCTATATATGTAGGCCAAATGAGTTTTCATATTCGTCTTAGTTTAAATTTTATTTTTATATATTAGATTGTACATTATTTTACTGTCAACATTTAGCAAATTGTTCGCTCGGTTTGTTTACATATATTTCGTTGCTAAAAAGTATAATTTTTCTTTTTTGTTTCTCAAATTCATCAGTATAATCATCAGAATGACCCCAATCAAGTTGTAGACAGCAATACACAGGCTCAGTGATCATGCAAAGAGGTCTTATTGTCATAAGTGTACTTAGACTCTGAGTACATCTTGTACACAATATATTTAAGGCTGATAAGTCTATTATTTTTATCGATATAGATTATAGTTGACAGAAAAGGACATACCCGGGTCAAAAATTGGCAAGCATATTGAAAAAGCTACCAAAATACCTGGCTGAAGTGTAGAGATTTAAAGTTTAAATCTTCAGAAACGAAAGCGGAGCTGTTTTATACACTGATGAATTTGAGAAATAGAAAAGAAAACCGAGCGAACAATTGGCTAAATGTTCATAACAGTAAAATAATGTACAATCTAATATAAAAACAAATAAAATTTATACGACGGATATGAAAACTCATTTGGTCTATATATAGAAAAATTTTCTTCAAACTTACCATAACCATAATACTGGCTTCTTTTGGCTTTAAAAAAAACTCAAAACAACTCTGAGATTTCAGGATTTTCTCCGCAAACTACGTCACAAGCCTGCTGCATGACGTCAACCTTTCTATAAAGGTCTATTACACACACGGCAAGTTTCAATCAGGTCTGGTACGGGTGTATCATTTTAAAATTTCCGCCCGAATTAGGATGCTGATTATGTAATATATACAACAAACGAGAAAGGGTTTATTATCGCAACACCGAAAATTGAGTAAGAAAAACGAGGCGCTTGCCGAGTTTTTCCACATAGTTACTTTGAGGTGTTTTACAAGCCAGTGATAAACAGCTTTCGAGTTTATTATAATAAATTTTACTTCTAAAACGGACTTATAATTAAAGAGAAATTCAACCTGAAAGTTGAGTTAATCAATTTATGGGCGTTTATTATACTGTGGTATCAAGATAACGATACGCAGGTGATCTTGAGCAGGCGATAAAATACAGATGAACATTTCCTTGTTTTTCTAAATTTAAATAGTGACCGAAGTATAATTTAGACTGCTCATAATGATCAGTGGCACCATCAAACACCAGAATATATTGGAAAACGTGCAACGGAGGGCTACAAAATTTATACTAAATTATCCTGAGGACCTTAATTACAAACAGCGCCTCCTTAAATTATCCCTGTTTCCTCTGGAGTAAAGAAAATATTGGAAAGACACGATTCTTCTATTCAAACACAGACTAGGCTTAATAGTTCTAGATCATCCCTCATTACAACAGTGCTCTGTCTAATATCGTGTAATTACCCGTAATTGTTCCTCCCTGAATTACAAGACACAGCGAGCAACTCAAAATTACCTAAAATACTACTTCCACCGTGTCGTTTCCACCTGGAACTCACTACCACTATAGATATCAAAAGTTCAACCAACTTAAGTAACTTTTAAAAAAGCTATCTCAGACTATTACACGATGAAACGTGATTCTTATATTCTTCCTGACGAAAGCATATTTAACTAATTTTAGACTAATTACTGTAATATATCTTACTAATTCAATATTTTATCATGTTTTTTAGCCATCAGGGGTTTGATGTCAATTGGGGCTTTGCCCTGTTTCTTTCTTCTGTTCAGGCTTTTAGCCAGGGTCCTAAAAGAGGGCGTCCAATTGTGGTACAACGATACATCTACAGTAAAGAGGGGGGGGGGGGGGG